TACAAAGAATTCATAATAAGGAACCCCAAAAAGGTAGGTTCTTCAGTGTACCTGTTTAAGGACCCTACAAAAAAAGTGTTCATAATAACCAACCCCCAACACCCGAAAAAGGTAGGTTCTTTAAAGGGTCCAGGTAGTATATACAAGTCCTTAAAAAAGTAGGTTCTTCAGTGTCCAGGTAGGCCCTATAGACCCATGAAGTCTAATGCCAAATCCCTAGGATGACACCCATAAACCCTCAAGCCCCAAACCCTGTGCCCTAAGCGAGCCCTTTTGGGACCCTCTTCACCTACCCCTCAAAGGAACCCTCTAAGTACCCTAAACCCTAAACCCTAAAACCTAAACCCTAAACCCTAAACCCTAAAACCTAAACCCTAAACCCTCAACCCTAGACCCTAAAACCCCTCAAAGGAACCCTGTAAGGAACTTTAAGCTTTGCAGGGCCTGGACATGGTCGCTGGTGCCACCTCCGTCTGAGGAACCCCAGGTCACCTGGACTACTTAGGGTTCCTTAAAGGGATCTATAGGGTTCGTTAAGGAGTTTAGGGATTTAGTCCTTAAAGGGATCTATAGGGTTCCTTAAGGGGTTTAGGGATTTAGGGTTCAGGGGTTTAGGACTGCTCTTCTGAATAGAAGGTTCCCTTTCGGGTTTAGGGTTTAGGGGTTCCGGTTTGAGGTTTAGGTTTAGGGCTTACCTTAACCCCAAATAACCTACCGCGTTAAGGACTTATATAAAGCATTCATAATAAGGAGCCCTGAAAAGGTAGGTTCTCTAGGGTTCAGGGTTTAGGGTTTAGAGGGTTCCCTTAAGGGCTACGTTGAGGGAACCCTTAAAGGGGTTGTTTAATAAGGGTTTAGGGGATAGGCTAGGGTTTAAGTTTCAGGGTTCCCTTAAGGGCCACTTTAAGGGATCTGGCAGGGCTTGAGAAAGGTTCTACAGCAAGGGTCTAAGATTTTTATAGGCTTCAGGGTTTAGGGTGGGCCTCAGGCATCCGAAAGACCCAATGAAACGGCTTAGGTTTGGGAGGTATGGGTACCAGGCACGTAAGTAAATCTTTTGGGAGCGTAATATGATTATAATGTACTTGGGCCATTTGGGCTATGGCTGTGGCATAGACCACCTCCAGCAAACCGAACAGGCCAGAATCGGGAATTGTAAAAAAGCAGATGAGAAGGCCATGAAGTCACGCTGGCTCTCTCTTCACCTATTGGTTGATGCTCAGGTTTACGAGCAAAGTTAACTGATCGCATTCAAGTCACCACCGATCCATCTTCACGCAAAGCAGCAAAGGCACGGGATGTGGCTTGTATATGTCTCACCATTATGAGCTGTTCCTGAACCGCGCTGCTGTCGCCACCATGCCTGCCAAACCCCCATGTCACGACATTTCCGCCATCCAATATAGCAGCAAAGGCAGAGACCGTTGCTTGGACATGCTGCACCCTCTTCAGCTGTCTCTGGACTTCAACACTTCTGCCGCCACGTGAATCGTCACCCCATGTGACTACAGATCCATCCTGCAATATTGCCGCAAAGGCCGCGGAGTTTGCCTGAATCTTCTGAACAGCGGTCAGTTCAAGGACCAGGCTGTCTGCAATGGACTGCAAACCCCAGGTCACCACCTTGGTTAGCCCTGAAACCCCTCTGAAGAAGATGCATGTGTAAAAGAAACAATCGTACAGGAAGTAGAAACCAAAATATGCCAGTGGCCACAACCTTAAACCTATATATAACCCTTTATAAAAATCTCTAAATATCCTACAGAAACACTAAAACAACTTCTAAAAGCGTAAAAACTCTAAACCCCTAAACTCAAAAAGCCCAAAACCCCCAAAGAAAGACCTAGCCACGAATCCATCGCTGCGCAAAGCTGCAAATGCCTGATCGCAGGCTTGGACGCTTTGCACCTGCACTAACCTGACGGCTTAGGGTTTATAACGGGTTTAAGGCTTAGGGTGCTGGGGTTTAGGGTTTAAATAGGGGTTTAGGTGTTCGGGGTTTAGGCGTTAGACTTCTCCGGTGGAAGAGTTCGGGTTCCGGGGTCTCGGGTTTCCGGAAACGTTAGGGTTGCCTTTGTAGGTCCCCAATATAGAAAGGCACCCTTACTAAAAAGGACCCCCCCCCCCAAAAAGCGACCCTAGTTTAAATTAGAGAACCCTAACCCTAAATCCTAAACCCTAAACCCTAGTTCAAATTAGAGAACTACCCATTTAGGGTTGCCCAATGGGTTTCCCAAACTTTCCGGTTTCCCCAGCACTGGCAGGTTGGCAGTTGAAGTTGAGGGCTTTAGGGTTTAGGGGTTTAGGGGTTTGCGGTTTTGGGGGTTTAGGGTTTTGGGGTTGAGGGCTTTAGGGGTTTGGGGGTTTAGGGTTTAGGGGTTTAGGGTGAAGGGTTTTGGGGTTTAGGGTTTACCTGGACCTAAAGAACCTGCCTTTTAGGGTTCCTTACTATGAGTTCTTTATAAGAAGTCTTCAAAAAGGTACACTGAAGAACCCACCTCTTTTCAGGGTTCCTTATTTTGAATTCTTTATGTATTATAAGCCTCTAAAAAAGTAGGTTATTTGGGGTTGAGGTTTAGGGTTTACCTGTAGCCGGAAAGACCTACCTTTTTCTTTATAGGGTTCCTTCTTAAGGTTCCTTATTATCATGGCCTGTATATAGTTCCTTGGGGAGGTAGGTCTTTTGGGCCACAGGTAGGCTATGGGGTCTACCTTAACCCCCAAATAACCGACCTGTTTAAGGCCTTATATACAGAATTCCTAGTAAGGAACCCTAAAAGTGGGGTCTAAGGCCTAGAGCTGGAGGTTTGGTCTGGGGTCTGCAATCTCGGACCTGACGGTGAGAACCCTCGCGAGAGTAATAGTGATTATCTACAAAACAAATTTGAGGCTTAGGTTTAGGTTTGGGGGCTGGAGTTTAGGGTTTAGGGTTTAGGGGTTAGAGTTTAGGGTTTGTGGGTTAGGGTTTAGAAACAAACACAGAGAAGAGTTAGACTGCCAAGGAACTGATCTTGGACCTCGGAGCTATCCCCGCCGTAACTGGATGCGCCCCACGCCACAGCAGATCCGTCTCTCAGAATGGCTACGAATGCACGGCTTGAGGATTGGATCGCCTGCACGTCCTTGAGCTGATCCTGAACGCTGCTGCTGTCACCTCCGCTTGTATTGCTCCCCCACGTGACGACAGATCGGTCGCCGCAGATTGCTGCAAAGGCATACCGGTTGGCCTGAATTTGACGCACATTCACGAGCTGCTCCTGAACAGCGCTGCAGTCACCACCATAGTTCAGTTCTCCCCATGCCACAACTGAGCCATCGTCAAGAATAGCCGCAAAAGCCTCATCTGTGGCTTGAAGTTGTTGGACGTTCTTGAGCCTGGGTTCTAGCCAAGGAACCTAGCTGAAGATACCGTAGTATTTAGGAAAAACCTCCTACTAAAATCAATCTATAAAGCCCTTAACCATAAACCCTAAATCCCCAAACCCTCAACCCTGAAGCCCTAGACCTTCAAAGAAGACGCCCAGGAGCTGTTGAACGGTCCCTTTGCTGGGACGTCCCGCACGGTCTGAGTGGCCCCAAGTGGTCACGGAGCCATCGCCAAAGATGGCGGCCCAGGACCTCTTCCTTTGTCCCAATATAAACAAATACATAAAATGAATGTATGCATACAAGTTTTTACATACATTTATCTATGTACTTATCTGTTTAATTTGCTTATGTGTGTGTAAATACATAAATACATAAATACATAAATAAATAAATAAATATAAATAAATAAATATATATATGATTTACTTATTTTCTATTGACTTAGGCGTTGTTAAACAGGCTTCTTTTCCTATCACCCAAAATTTCTTCAAGGCTTTGTTAAAGGAGCGCTGTGAATAAATGCTTGGAGGCAATTTGGAGGATTTGACAGTGGTTACTGTATGGGTCTCCATGGCTTTAGACTTTAAGGATTCATCTGCAGGCGTGTATGAATGACTGTTCATGGGGTTGTATCCTGTATTCGGCTTTCTTATACCGAAAAGGGCGTCTATAACTAAATTCCACAGTATATGCCCTTGATAACAAGGGTACTCTTGACTTTGCTACCAAAGTTGTTATACTCAGAGATCCACTTCATGGTTTAAGGGGTACAGCGCTCTTCGGAAAAATGACAGAACTCCCGAAGAGGCCCAAATAGTATATGACATACTTTGGCCTCAAAGCTGTCCGTGTATTATACAGGTACGATAGAGCCAAAAAAGTGCACTGTGTGGGCACATAGACCTTTCAAGTTTTCTGGATAAGACAGACGAATGAAGGTGCAGAGCCACCTTAGTCTTTGGGAGCCCTCAACCAAAAATCGTGGCTTTTTTCCTTCGCCTTAGGCCTACCTTACCCCACGAGAGTCTAGAGCCTACTCTGTCAAAGGGCCCTGGTATACGCCGTAATAAAGATGAGACGGGAGCCCTACTGTTGATGATATACATCCTGCAACACCTTAAGGACCCTAAGCTATGGGAAGCATGGTCTATTCCTTATTATGCAGGATTTATTTCATCAACCGTACCACAAAACAACAGGTTCCGGTTGCTTCAGGCAAACTGGAAACACCAATCACGTCCCAACCGGAGCCTAGACCCTGAGCCCTAGCTTATATAAACCCTAAACACAAGGGCCTAGGCGACCTAAACCTAAACCCTGACCTAAACCTAAACCCTAACCCTAAACCCAAAGGCCTAAGCCTAAACCCTAAACCCTAAGGCCTAAACCTAAAACCCTAAACCCTGATGCCTACACTAACACCCTAAACCCTAAGGCCTAAATGTA